GAACAGAACGAGAGGATAAACGCGGCCAAGCAAGGATGCAATGATGAAGGTGTCCGTTCGGGTATCTGCCAGAAGAGGACACGAATCAAGCAAAGAAAAAAAGAAGGACGAAACGAGTGGCAGGTGATGGCGAAGCCGAGGTGCGCTGCTGATATACGCGCGCGCGCGAGCGTCGTGACCGGTTCCCCGGATCGCTACGCGGTTTACTGCCGCTTAATAAGCCGTAATAAGAAGGACCGTCGGCTCGTTTCGCGCAATATTCTTGTGCGCGATAAAGTTTTGCAAAAGCGCAGCGCGCACGACCGTGATACATACGAATTGCGCGCGATCACCGCACAGATCTGCGGCACGATCGGGCAGGTGGTCAACTCCTCCGGACTTTGCAGCTTCCTGCGGAGGATCCGAAGGTCACGTCGAGTAATCGTGCGCACGGCACTGTTTTGCGCTTCGAGATCGGATTTTTATCTCGCGACTCAGACAAAGAGAGCTAAGAAGTTTTAATCGCGTATTTTTGTTAATTATCATAGACAATTCGCGTTGTGTTTTCAATATTATATTAACCTTGAACCTGAATTTTTTATAGGGTTTTTATCGAATATCACAAATAAAAAAAAAAGTTAATACAATTACACATTAATTCTGCAACGAACATTTTCTCGATGAAGCGCAATCAAAGGAAGAATATTACGCGTTTATTGTCCTTTGACAATAAGATTAAAAATTCACTAAACAAAAAAGAATGCACTTTGTCATTAAACAGTTTTTGTTTTTAATCTTTGCGCGAATTTAATAACCTCGGCGCGCGATTGCAAGATTAAATCGTTCCGTGTTACTTTTTTTATTTTTTGGTCTTATCCTTCGTCTGCTTGTTAACCGATGTTCGATATTATTTCACGAGCGTTTAAGTGTAACGTAGACAAGATCGCAACAAGAAGGAAGACACGATAAGTTTTAATTTTAAATGCTTAGCGTGGCGAGCACACGCGTTATCGACGACTCGATCGAGCCTGACAATGCTACTGCATTCACGTGGGGACGAATCACTCCCCCGCAGTCAGACCGCCCTTCGAATATAAAAGGGCAAGCGAGTGAGCTGACGGACCCCGGGCGCGCAGGGCAAACGAAGTTTTCCGCTTTTCCTCGTTTCCGTCTGTCTTTCTTCTTCTTCTTCTTTCTTCGCTAAATCAGATGCATCCTCGCCTCTTACCTCTCTTGTAGCGGAGCGCAACAGTTGGCGAGGAGGAAACATCTGTCGGTCGCGGCGCATGCGTATACTTCAGGTAAAAAACTTGCATCCAGGGATTCTCAAATTTTTGGAAGCGGAGACGCGCGTGGCTCGCGAATTTCGAATCGTGTAAGAATTAAAGTCAATGTTTTTGGTAATGAGAAAGAAAAACGGTGAGATATAAAACACAAATTAGAAATATTAAGTAAAATAATAAAATTAAAACGAATGAAATGGCCAAATGGAGTCAACGCTGGACTATGCGTGCGCAAATATTTAATAAATTTATTAATAAATATTTGCGCACATACATCAGTTCTGGTTCTATTTGGCTTCTCTTGTTCATTTTAATTTTATCTTTAACTTTGTAGAGCCTTCTCGCTAGATTTTATATTATGTTTGTCACAAAATATTATTTTTTAAAATTACAATTTTAATTGAAAAATATACACGGTCTAATAACACGCACAGTTTTTCTAATATTTTAAATCAACTCTTAGTCAAAGTGATATATAGATTACGAGAACGTAAAATTTCACGCACGCTATAAATGTATTAAAGATAAAAAAACTGGTATATACGTCTTACAAACAATATAATACACATGATGTACATATGACAGATGTCAAAAATAACGCATGAAAATCAAACTTGAAAAATAAAAGAAGAAGGGGAAAATGGAAAACTACCATGTAACTAAAATTATGTGACAGGGAAAAGAGTAAAAAAGAGAATATTATATATATATATATATATATATATATATGTACCATAATTGCGTGACCAAAGTCAGTGACCCCGCCAAGGTCGCGCGGCCGAGGTCAGTGACCCCGCCAAGGTCACGCGACCGAGGTCAGTGACTTTACTGTAGTATGTATATAATACATATAATACAAGGTATAATATTATAAATATAATAAATTATATGTATAATATATAGTATTTAATGTTATATATAATAGAAATTACAGTCACGTTACTTTATAATCACGTTTTTAATTTTCTCCACGTATACAACGAACTGTCTCTTTCCTGTCATTATTTACTTTCTCGATCTTATCGATTCGATTTGACTCGACTCGACTTGATCAACCAACCAATCGGCAACGCGGGAAAGAGGCAACAATAGATGTATTCGATATCAAAACGCGCACTTCGCGGTCCAAATGGATTTTTTTTTATATAGAATTAAAAAAATATATCAAAGCCGTCAAAAGTAGGAAAATCTACAGATAGTTTTTTTTGTGATCACTCACTTCGTATTGTCGATTTCGATCTACTTGAAACAGTTGCGCAGTGTTACGTGTACCGTTGAAGTGAAATTCTCGGTCATTTACGTGCACATCTCTCTTTACGCGTGCAATTTGCGGACACTTTTGTGTTTCGCTCGGATGTTTCTTCCTGTTTTTCAACATCTGTAAGACGAGTATGCTGAAAAATTTGCTTGACAAGTGATACCAATTGAGAAAGTGCCGGGCTATCTCTCTCTCTTTCTCTCTCACGGTGCGTCCATTTATTTAGCCATCTTGAGGATCTCGCATGACTCACGTCGAAATTACACGTCCATTTTGCGAGCAAAGGGTGGCCACGAAACACCCTTCATTATACACACGGACGGTATAGCGCGTATATAAATCGCACGGTCTCTCGTATCGTATTCTAATGTAAATACACCGCTTGCTTAAATTTTCTCTGTTAGTCATAAGCACGGCACTCGACTTCATGTTAAATTTTTCAATGAGATTTTGTCGAAGTCGCAAAATCTTGGTTGAATAAATTTTAAACTTTAATTCCAAATCGGTTTTTTGTCAACCTAAACCGTGACTTTAAAGTATTTAAAAAATTTTGACAAAAATTCTCCGGCACTTTTTTTCCAGTGTCTGTTAGTATGTCCTTGTTGTTTGTTGAAAAAACAGTTTTATATTAACTTATCTTCAATGATTTTTGAAGTGAGTTTTGCTGGACGAAAAAGATCTAAAAAAAAAAAGGTTTAGAAAAATGGGATTTTAGCGCGGCATATTGTGTAGTTTTTGATAGCCGATTTTCGAAACTCAACCAAGACTTTACGTCCTAATTGGAACGATCAGTGTTTCATGTTTTTTTTTTTTTGAGCACACACACGCGCGTTTTTCCGTCACAGATGCGTACACATATATCAGTGCCATAAGGCAAGACATCAGCGGGACGGTCAATCATCGCTCGATTTCCGCAGGAAGCGTTCTCGAAACTGCGTGATCAAACGCAGAAACCAAGAGATGACACGTTTTCGCCGCAAGGAGAAACGACTTAGGCCGCGCAAACCGCAGCATTCGCACATGTGTGAAAAGGACCTTCCTCAAACGTAGAATTACTTCTCTGACTGAACTTCTGCAAACTTACATAAGTAGACGGGTGCACTTATTTCTTCCTTTGAATCCGCGGTTAGTCCTTGGCACTCTAATCAGCCAACAGATTTTTTTCGTTTTTTTTTTTCGCAACGCCGTATCCTCGCGGTCTTCCCGCGGACGGTTGCAAATCGGATACTGACGTAACCACAATTTCTCGCTTTTTAACGAGCAAGTTTTCAATAGCAATCGCGCTTTTGTTGCGTGTATAATATTTATTAGGTTTTTTATAGTATACAATTTTCTAACTTTTGGATATCAAATAAAATTAAAAGTCAGCCAGAATAAGCAAATATAATAAAAATAAATTAAGTAAAATTTGATATTTGTTTCCACAATGCTAACAACAAAGTGTATTTGCTTGTTTCGATTGTCTCTATAATTTTATTAATGATCAAAAAATCAACAAAATATTCTTAATATTTTTTTTCATATAAATTGTTTTTATAATCTGTTTTATTCCCGAAAGGTCTGAAATAATTTTTATTTTGATTCCGAGAGACTATATTGGTCGCACAAAATTACGCGGTTCTCGGTAGAGCGGGCAGATGCATCGATAGGTATCAAGTTTCCTTCAGCTGGCCCGTCTCGCTCTGTTAAACTTGAGCGTCAAGGTCCCTTCGGGCTTATTCCGGGGGCAGAACTTCCGATTTGGAAATTCGAGAAGTACCGAAATGATCTCCCCAATGGAGAGTTCGCGTGCTTTTATCCCTCTTGCCGTGTAAAGAGTCCTTCAAGCTTCACTTATTTGCAGGCGCGAAACACTCTCGAGAGAACGTTATGCAACGAGAAATCCTTCGCGAGTAATAGAATACCCTGTTGATCCTCCGGTACTCGAGATTAGTCGTGCGGAAGTTTCTTCTCGCAAAGAAACAAACAACCAATAGAATGCAAAAAATGTCTAGAGTTTTTTTTCAAATATTTTGTAAGTTTTGTTTAAAAAAAAATAGTTTAGAGATATTTCTATTATCTCTCTCTTCCTCTCTCTCACATTTCTCTCAAAAAAAATTGAAAGATGCAATAAAATAAGAAATATAAAATTCATTACCTGCTTTTATTGCATTTCCAACACTCTTTGCGAAGATAGTAGTGAGATATAAAATCTTTCAGTGCATTGTATCGAATAATATCCGCAAGATAAGAGAAAGAAAAAAGAAATCGATATATCAACGATAAAATATCTCACTGGACAAAAGATTGCGCGTTGCGCGCCAAGTGTAAAACTGCAGAAAAGGATTTTGAGAGACACTGCGTATCTGTGCCGAGCGCCACGCGACCAGGTCGTCCGGTCGGGCCGGGTGCCGGGTGTTGTTGAAATCAACGTGGTGGGGTTCCTTCGACGTGCCCGCGATCGGAGCCTTATGCCTTCAGTCGACTCTCGGCTCTCACTGCGACTCGCTCGAGCCGGCTGAGATTCCGTTAATTGAGCATCGAGCAGTCCCAAAAACGCGCGTCTAGACGGGGCCCAGGTGCTTGACTACTCGCGAGAGCGGGGGATAAACAGATCAGCAGCGGCATCAAACGCGAAAACAACCGTCGTTTTGCAATTCTCCGCGCTCGGCAATTAACTGCGTCACGTGGGGGACACCTGATTACACCACCTCTGTGGAAGATAAAATTGCACCGAGGAGGCTTTATCTCGCGTGAGGAAGTGAAGGGGACCGAAACGAGTAGTGGGGCAGGAAGTTATCCTGCCGCGTGAGTCCTCGAGCGCAGTGCGATCGAGACTAGGCGCGAGTCGACAACCTTTGCCGCGAATCGATAGTCCGCAAGTCTACACACACACACACACACACACACACCGGTCGATCACCTCGATCAATCTCACCGAGTGCATCACGTGTCGTGCGGTTAATTAGCACGCGGGTGGCTGATCGGAAACTACAGAGAGAGAGAGAGAGAGAGGACTGTTCTCGAGATGCTGAGAGCCGAGTGAGACAGAAACCGAAACGAGAAACAGTGCACGAATCGAAGCAAAGGTGGAGAGGGGACCGGCCGATTAACTGGATTCGCAGGGGGTGCGGTCGGAGCCGCCGAGGGAGTTTAAATAGATGCAGGAATCTGCGGACGGCGCCGTGGAGAGAGAAATTATCAGATACCTACCTACGCTCGAAAGGACGCTCGCCCGATCGTGCCCGAAGGGTGTTTTTTGATCAAACAGATGGTGCTCGTGAATAAATTCAACGAGAGGAAAGGATAAAGTCCCGCGTTTTGAAAGATCTTTGCGGAAGAAAAAAAAAAGAAACATTGACGGTTAGAAAATTGTCGAAGCCAATATTCACGAACTCTGTTGGAAAATCAAGTGACTGTTTACACGCGCCGGAGAAATCGAAAAAAAAAAAAAAATAGACATTGATTAACAAGCGAGATATCTGGTTGCGCGTTGCGGTGTACATTTCTTTGAGACATCGCGATCAGAGAAGTGGTCTGGAAGCCGAACGTTAATTCGAACGTTTGAATGACACTGGCAGCTTCTAACAAGGTTTCGGAAGCTTAATCGGGAACGACATCGCGAACATGTTGTGCGGCACGTTCAAAAAACAGAGGAGACATCCGGGGGACGAGTATCGGTTGGTTAGATCAAACACCATGACCAGAATAGTGTCGGGAGCGCGAGACGCCAATCTGGTGTCCGTTCGGAGAACGAAGTCCACGAGGGTCGCCGCTCGACCGTCGCTGATCAAGGACCTGCTGCATATGGTAAGCATAGAGAACACACGTATAAAAGACCGCGGACGATAAAAATGTCGAGGATCGCCCGTCGCATGGAAATTAAGCTACACTTCCGATAGAACATTTCCGATCGGCTCAAAGGTTTTACAAGAATTTTAAGAGGAATAGAATATTTTTTTTTATTATACGTACGCGCACACGTGGGAAACACAAAAACGATAACTTACGAAATTAATTTCGCGAAAAAAATTAATTAATAGAAATAACATCGAAGATAAAAAAAAACAATTGCAAGGTTAATTTCGTAAAGAAATAAATCAAGAGAAATAATATAATTGATAAAAGAAGAATTTAGGAACGAGTTTGTGTGCGCGTTAAAAATTTGGATTTTACAAATCGAACACAACAAAACTTAAATATTTGCAAAAAAAAATTTATTTCACTGTACGTATCTTTTGTCGTTATCGTATTGATGAGTGTGTATGTATTTTATGTTTTTGCGCTCTATTGTTAGGTAATATATTTTTGTTCGCGAATATATCGCGCGCGGGGCAAATATGCGCGTTATTCTTAAGCTAAGAACGCATCGCGTAGGCCAGATTGATCCTCAAAGGATTCGGACCGTCCCCCGAATCTACATACATGAATACGAATGCGTCACGCCGTTTGCATATGTATGCAAGCCCCGCGTATGCGTGCTCGTTTCTCTGTACAATTTACGATGCCGCACGACTTCATAAACGCTGTAACGTATTCGGGCATCAAAATAAATTCTCAGTCAATTAATTAGCAATTTTCAGTCATGAACGTTAAATCCTTACAAAATCCTTACAAAAAATACATTCGGTGAAAAAAATTCATTGTTTCGCGTTGCGTGCGTAAAAGTTTACGGCAACTTGATGCTAAATACGAGATATGTCAAGACTTCGAATACACGGTTTTGTTTTCTTATCCGATGTAACTTATGTCTGAACTATTATAAACGTTTTTCTTTTTTTTTTTTTTAATTTGCGATCGCGAAGAGCGCTCGATTCTTCTAAATTTCGAACGTCGATAAATTCGACTCGCTCGCGACGCGCCAACGTTTCGATCTCACGTTTCTTCTTTCCCCGAGAGAGCATTTACGATGCTTGTTTTTTTCGGTCTAAATCCGGCAGCGCGGGAAGAGGCGCCTCTCTGTGCGGCCCCGTGTCGGATTCTTCCGAGCTGTCTGGGGCTACGGACCGAAAGGAGAGTCCGGCTCTCTCGAGGTTTACCTTATAAGGTGTTCCGCTCGATGCTCAGTATCCATTAGAAGAGGCTTTTGTCGAGGCCTCGATCTCTTTTTCCGACGGATTCTCAAAGGGCCCCGCCATACCGATCGCTCGTTCGAAATCATTTTTATCGGTCGGAAAAGGGCGCGTGTCATTTTTATTATTCAAGAGCGTGGCCCGCTATAATTCCTCAAGCGCCAATTACGGAACGATTTCAGACCGTAAAATGGAGAGCGGTGTAAAAAAAAAAACAAAAAAAAAAAAAAAACAAAAATGACATGACATTTTAATTAACTGGACGTTTCTTTCGCTGAAATGTTGATTTAATTTTTGCGGAGCGAAATCGTGTTTGTTTGTTTCGAATAAAAATGTAAGAGCGCAATATCTCCCTCGTGAGATATTTAAACATTTAATCTAATTTCGAAACATCAATCTCTCTCTCTCTTCTCTCTCTCTCTCTAAAATCGTATCGCTCCGCGAAATACACGTGAATTATTTACGATCAATTTTCTAACTGACAAACAAACTCTCGATGTCACTCGCCGCCATTATCCTCTTTAACGGCCGCTGTCAGATGAACGTTTTTTCCAAGTTTAAAGAGAATTTTAATGCGCGAGTCACAAAAATGAGTTCATGAATATGCACATAAATATAAAGAACGAGCGCGCGAGATGTGCTTTTTTGTTAGTTGGCTCTCTCAAACGTTAACGCGAAAGTATTCCGTTGCGCGGTGGTTCCTGCCGGGCCAGGCGCGTCGTCGTCTTCCTCAGCCGAGAGAAGAAATTTTGTCCGCGCGGTCAAGGATATCGCGAAGTCGAACCACAAGAATGCGACCAGGTTCGAACTTGTTCTCTAATACCTCTGCGGTACGAATATTTTATACTTTTTTTACGTCATCTTTTTTTTTTTTAAAGAGTATTTTCCAATGAGATAATTTTGAAAGCGAAAAGTGTGTCAATTTTTGTCGCGAGTTTATGTGAAAAAAGTAGTTGCATTTTTCTCTGGAATTTACCTGATTCGCGTTTGATTTTTACAACATTTGGCGTGACTTGAAATTAAAAAAAAAAAGGAACCAGTTTTCTCAATTACGAAACTAAAGCGGTCAAAAAGCTCAACTACAAATTGGCTCCTCAGCCGTTTTCCAACTTGTCGGACTCGTCGTAAGTTCGCCTCTTTGACGGGGTAATATTTTTCAGCGCCAACGGTAATCATCCACGCGATTCTCATATTCTGAGCCGTTCTCGCGAAAACTAGGTCGTCCGCGTTATTGCAATTGGCCAGGCCGAGCAGCCGAGTAAACCGAACGAACTGTGAGATTTCAATAAGAACTCGCTCGCATAAAGACAATAGTTTCGCTTTGAGATTACGGTTAGGAGACGGGGGGGGGGAGAGGGGGGATGTGAGGTTGAACAACGAGCCTGGAGAACGCACGCGCTTTTTTTGCCACTGCAATTTGTGTACCTCCGCTTCCACCCCCGTTACCTGGCCGCACTCCACCGTTCTTTGTTCGCGTTCTTTTTTCTTTTTCTTTCTTTCTTTTTTTTTTTTATTATTTCCCGCTCCTCCTTCTGCTCCTCTTCTTCATCCTCTCTCGCCGTGAGAGATTCTCCCTTCGTTTTCTCTTCGGGTCGCAAAATATATTCCGGCGCATTCCTGCGTATCGTGCCGTGGCGCGATTTAGGCCTCCCCTCTCTCTCCTCTCGTCCCAGTCAATGGTTCTCGCGTACCTGTTCGCGGACTTGTCCGACGGGAGACATGTTCGAAGAATTTTCACCTTGCGAATTAGTTAAAAAAAAAAAAAAAAGACCACTTAAATTTTGACTCGCGATTTTGTTGCCAAACTAATTTGTCGTCTCGATTCTCGGGAAAGTATAGATGCGGCGGCGTGCGCGCGAATCGTTCTTCGAGCTGTGCAACAAAAGACGGCTAGCGTGCGCGCTATTAGCTCTAATTAGTGATTATTACAGGACATTCCTCAGACGATGCCGCAAATTGAAGACGGCGCAAACTGGCGGCGTAACAACGAGAGAGAGAAACGAGAGAGAAAGAGGAGATATGACGGTCTGATTAAAACAAATCGCCGAGACTGAAATAAAATTGTACTGTGGTCGACCAATGCGTCGGGGAGATAACGATACTTCGAAACAATGTGTTTCTCGGTAGAGTCTCGAACTCTCTACGCGGTAGAAAGTGGAAATAAAATGATACTTTGTGTTTCAGACGGAACGAAATAATCGCGAGTTGTCAAATTGTTCAATTTCGAGTTGATTTATTATATCTAGTTCTCTTTCTCTGTGTGATTAAAGTTTCTTGTTGAATTGTACGATAGAATCGTCGAAATTTTATCGCGAACTCCAGATCGGCGGGTTTTGTCGCGACCGAATTAAAAGTGTCGACGAGAAAACGAAATATCACCGCGTGCCTGACAAAATAACATGCACGGGATATAAAACACTTTCGCGTGCGTTATAGCGAGAGCGCGGAATAAGCGCATTGCGCAAAGCTCTTTACCTGGAGTGACCTGATTTATGGATTTACTGTGTAATACGAGTACGTATATCGCAACCACACACGTGTGCGTTTCTCGCCTCCAGTTGCTCTGATAACCTTGATAATCGAATCTAGCTTCTAGAGAAGCTCTTTGTAGATAAATCCGCGGCGATGAGAAGAATTTTAAGCGTTAATGAGGTTTGTAAAACCTGATGAATTGTTTATTATTGTTTATCGTTTGTGTGGTGTGTTCGTCTGTTATCAATGTGAGCCAAATTACAAGATATTAAAATTCAAACGTTTTGATCTTAATCATTGGATCTTCATCAGTGAAGATCTAAATAACGTGATGATTAGCAGCAACGTTAATAAAAATTGTTTAAATAAATTGTTCAATGTTAAGCACAACGTAAACTTGTTGAAAGTAAATTAACACAAGGTCGGCAGTGAATGAGAAAGAGAGAAAGAGAGAGAGAGAGAGAGGAGGAGGACCGTAAATTAACTTTATAAACATATCAGTTAATTAACTGATCAATTAATTAATTACTCTTTTACATGTGTGCCGAGCAGAGAAACAACCGTGTTATCGCTACGTTTATACGCGACGTTTATCAAACGATGAGGTTTTTAGGGCGTGAAATATTCGAGGTGTCATCGACCTCCTGTACACGTTAAAACTGAGACAACACCACCTTGTATCGGGCCGACATTACACGTTTCGACTCCGCATGTAAATGCAGATGTAACCCTCGAATGTGGGATGAGAAGAGGTATCCCGAGGATACCTTCTTCTCTCGGAGACCTCGAATTCCGTCGCAGGCGTGGGAGTGATTCGTGGCACGGGGCCCCAGATAGGCGCGAACGAGAACAACGTGTCGGAGAAAGGTCCTCGCTCGCCTCTTCTTCTCGTGGACCTTTGTCGAATACGCTAATGAATTTTCTCGGTTCGAGCTTGATCGATCACTCCGTGTGTGTTAATAACCGACGGTCAACTCCGTGTGTTACTTGTTAGACGAGCTAACTCCGGAAGGGAGGTTTGCGCGAGGCTTAAACTCTTGTCTTCGGAAATTTTAGCGTAAAAGAGATTGGGTCGAATATACACACTCCATTGTGTACTTGATTCATGCGTGGCTTCGAAAGTTTCTCGGATTCGCTACACGCAACTCTCTCTCTCTCTCTCTTTCTCTCTCTCTCTCTCTCTCTCTCTCTCTCTCTCTCGCCCGAGAAGAAACGGGATCGTCTTTTGACTTCCGGTCGTGTCACGTTTTATTGTGTGTGTGTGTG